TGCAGGTGGGAGACGGGGCGTGGGTTGGACCTCTCTGCTGGTTCTGTTCCATCAGGGCAGCTACACCTCAGGGTCCTTCACCTCTGCTGTTGGCAAAACTTTACATATGCCCATTGAACAGTGTTTAGATTAAACGAGCTGTTAGGCCACACTAACAAGAAATATATTTGGAGGCACCAATGTAAGGCTTTTAAACTTAAGAACGCTGGACGTACTAATTTATTCATTTATTCATTCAATTAAAAGAAACAAAATCAACAAAACAAATTAGTCAAAAAGAAAAACATTGAATGAAAAGGGTACAGAAAGAAGAAAAAAATCTTATAATAGTAATATAATATAATATAATATAATATAATATAATAATCATCAAGCATGGTGGTGGTAGTGCCATGCTGTGGTACTGGTAGAGTTTACCCCCAATTCTTCAACTTCACCTAAAACTATTAGCTAAATATTTGAAACTTGGACACAGTTTGGTGCACCAATGGTTCCCAAAAGCACATGCTCCGATTCAAAACAGATCTCTTCACTCTCAGACTGCAGGTTTACTTGGGGGTCCTAGAGTTTCTAAAAGCAGAACAGGAGGCAGCGCTGTCGTCACTGGGCTCCTCTCGTGGAACCTACTTATGGTTTTGTCTGTGAGGCATACTCCCTGTCGACTTTTCTTTTTGATAAATCCTATAATTAGGGTTGCCTTGGGTTTCCTGAGGTATCCTTTAGTTTCCACTGTTGCCAGTGTGCTGCTGAGGTTGACCGTACTGTTCCATTCAACCATTAAAAGCCCCAAAATAATTACATTCTTGCTCATGAAGGGTGTATGTAAACCTCTGACTTCCTCTATATGTTCCTCCATCTGTGTTCCTCCTCCTCCTCCTCCTCCTCCTCCTCCTCCTCCTCCTCCTCTCCGTGGAGTTGTTGACTTCCTCCGAGCGAGGACATATCAGTCCGCCGGGCTGTTTGTACTCGAGTCGTGACACAACAGCGAAGCAGATCCTCTCAGTCTGTGCGCCTGGAGAGTTGGCCTCTCAGTGTGTCAGCAGGAGTCTGTGGTGTTCTCCTGTGTGGGATGTGTGTGTTTTCTCTCCCACTGCATCCATTACAACCCTTACCAGTTTGTTATTGTGGTCAGTGATTGCTGTGCTGAGATTTAATTACTGGGAAGAGACCACGACTAATGAATGTCACAGTGGCGGACTGTTTGCTGCTGGATACGCGTAACGAAGCTGTTTATACAGGGGACTGATTTTATGCTTTGTGACAAGTTTAGGTGATGGTTGGGGTGGGGGGAGGACAACATTAGACAAGCAAGAGAGATGTGGGATTTATTTACAGAAAGATGTCTGTGCTGTGACACTAATACGAGCTTTGTGCCAACACTCTCACAAACTATGAAATTGACTTTGCCATTCATTGGTTTGCATACAGTAAGCACCCAAGTGAGGGATTCAAGGTGCTATGGGGTGTGTGTGTGTGTGTGTGGGGGGGGGGGGGGGGGGGCTGTCCCTTTGATGTGTTTAATCCAACTGGGTTTAAAGTCAAGTGTAAGAGAGGACCAGAGAAGAAACCAGCTTGATAACATTTCTTTTGGAGCGTCGTTTCTGATCATCAAAGCTCGCAACATGAAAACGCACTCTGCTGTCTGCTGCAACATTTAATGGCTCTGAAGGAAACGGTGAATTCATGGAAACGGGTTTGCATGAAAGAATCATTCATAAACTCATAAAAGCATCTGTTTTTAGTCCAGTGATGTGTTCGAACACAGTCATGGTCAGGATTAATAAATTTGTTCATTTGGGAGTACATGTGATTGACAGTTTGGCTAATATGTCAACTGAAAACTCCATCTGTGACGATGGCTGAGATATAATAACTCCCACACATGATTGGCGTTGCTACCAGTTTTTAAAAAAAATTTGTCTTTATGCTAATGCTTCGAGACTTCGCCTGCAGCTGAAGTGGGGGTGATGATCTCCTGGATGTGGAGGAGGAATTACATGTCCCTTATATAACATAAATGATCTCTGCTCATCACTGAAGAAAGAGGAGGCTGACATCTTGCAGATTTGGCCACTAGGGGGAGACAAACACTGCAAAGGATGGATTTATTTAGGAGCTTTTTGGGGCAACTGAGAATTTGTGAGACCATTATAGATTTGTATGAAAGGAGTGGGCTGATGGTGGAGGTGGGGGAGTAATTGCTCATTTTCTTGTTGTATATAGGAATAATTTAAAACAGCTATGAATTAGAATCACTCGACAATGAAATGCATTCACTTTACCACACAATTTCTCTATTTTTTGGGGGTCAGTACTTGTTGAAGGGATATTTCAGCCATTTCTACGTGTTGTTCTGGTAACAGTTTCATACCTCACCTGCTGTAAACAAATATTTGCCTCATTTTCTATCTGGACTGATGAGCTAATGGCTAGTCTGTGCAAAAGTGGATTGCTGTCTCAAAGCAACTACTCTCCAGTATGTCACATCAGCTCACATGTTTGCTGACTTGCACGTCTTTATTTTACTGTCACTTTCTTGAAGCCTGTTTTATATGTAATTCAGTGGTTATTTCAAGCACAAACATGTTAGCACAGGTTAGCTAGCAGCAGTGAAGGCTAACCTGTGTAGGCAGGGGTACACAGGAATTTAAAAATAGCAGATTTCTGTAAAAAATAAATAAATTAAAAATTAATGAACTGACTGTAATAAAAAGATTAAAATTATAGCATTTGCATGAACCATTTATTGTTTTAATGGTTGGAGATGTTGTAAGGTAGAGTTGCATTCGGACCCAAAATATCCGACCCGACTCGACAAATTAACAGAAATTACCGGTCCAAACTTGAACCCCCCCCCCCCCCCGCAACATTTTTAATTGAGCTTTGACTGCTGATATAGTTATTAACGGTCAGCGGACGTGCACGGCTGGGTAAAAGGAGGCAGAAGATGAAGGGATGTTTGTCCGTCAGAGCGCATTAAATCTCTGCTTGCCTGCATTCTGCATTATTCAGACACAGACCCTGCTCTGACATGTCTGCGAGGATATTTTGTGATCTCACCTGTTTGGGTCGTCGGCCACGTGCGTCCGCTGAGTGCAGCGGCTGAATGAACGTCCATTTGGGCGATGGATCGCTGCCTGGCAGTCCCATCTGAAGCTTAACTGAACTTTTTTTTTTCCTCTTCCAAGGCCGGTCAGCGTGCGGTGAAATGGCCGCATGCGCGGCTGGTGATTGTGTGGCAAGCCATGTTGGCATATAATTGCATCGTCAGTCGCGCGAGTACGCTTACGAAATCAAAAGTCCGACCCTGGCCCTAATCTGGATCGTGCCGGGTTCGGGTTAGAAATGACAGCTCTAGTTGTAGGGCGTCAAAATTCAATTTGGAAGCTGGTCCGCTTGGATTAGCCATTGTTAGCTTCTCAATATAGTCCAATGGATCCACTTCCAGAGTGGATTGCTGATATCTTCAAATAACTCCAGACTGCAGCAGTTCATACAATTGCACCTTTACATCAATAATAATTTTGCATTATTCAGTTATTATGACAGAAATATTATGTTATTCCTTCTGAAAATGTTCTGTTAGCTATATGCTGCATAGATCTGCCCACGGCACATATGTTCATAATAACTGAAAATAACGGACGTGCAATTTTTGACCTGCGTCTAACTCCGCTTGCTCATTCTGCCCTTTAGGCAATATGCTTTTTCACAAGACACCTCGTCTTCAAAGACGAAGTGAGGTAGTAACAGAGGCAAAATGGTTAACATGTGAAGCTGGTGCCGTGGCTCAATAATGTGATGAAGTGATGACTTAAAATCTGTGCTCAGTCGCAGGATTAAACAACTGATTTATTACAGAAGGAAGCTTGATGAGGGGCGGCACACTGGATCAGTTGGTAGAACTGTTGCCTCTCAGCGAGAAGGTCGCTGGATCAAATCCCAACCTAGGGACGTTCCTGGATGGAATTTGCATGTTCAGCTCTTCGGTTTCCTCTCACAGATCAAAAACATGCATGTTAGGCTGATTGGTAACTCTAAATTGTCTCTAGGTGTGAGTGAGAGAGTGAATGGTTGTTTGTCTCATTTGTCTATATGTGTCTCTGTGATGGACTTGGACCTGTTCAGGGTGTCCCCCGCCTCTCGCACTGTGACTGTTGGCACCAATGACCCTTGCGACCTGGAAAGGAAGAAGCAGCAATGCTAACCGACGGATGGAAGCTTGATGAAGACTCACAGCAACTTTGTATGTAGTTGGAAGAAAAAAATATATAAACACGGAACAGATCGCTAAACGGAGGTAATTCATCCTGTTTTTCAAAATGAAACGAAGCCGACTTCCATCACACATTTCATGCATTGCGCTCCACTTCAACCCAGCTGAGTTCTGCTCCACGCCTCATTTGGTTCCACTTCACTTCTGAAAGCGAACATCTGTGCGGGACCTGACCGGCTCCATCTTTCACAGTTATGATTTATGAAAGGCAACTTAAAGACATGTTGGTATGTATGGCCATTTTTGCCAAACCGTTTCAAACCCTAAACGGAGCCCAGCGAGCTATCTACAACGGTAAGATACTAATTGTTCAAAACTTTAAACCAAAACACCCTCCTAAAGTTGACCTTACAGTCCTCTCGCAGCAGCTGCGGCTGATGTTTCCCCTCTGCAGCTCTTTTTTGGGGGTGGAAGGGTAAAAACACGCACGCACCGGTCCTCGTGGCACGAAGCAGCCCAGCTCAGTTAATTATCTGCCCACGCCAGGACGCGCGGCTCAGCCCCACAAATGTTTCCGGCTGTTTTGTCATCTCGGCTCCTCTGCGGGGCGTCGACGCGCCGCCGCAGCAGCGCCTCATCCAGGCGCAGCGGAATGAGAGCCCGGGACTGACCGACACGCACAGACCGCGCGCGCGCCTCTTCTCCCGGACACATATCGGACAGAAACTGTGTGTTTATCCGGAACGTAGGGGTGGGTGGGTGTGTGTGTGCGCGCGGTGGGAGGAAGTGTCCTCCTTTTCTTGCCATGTCCACACGAAAGCCATCGCTGACGGACAAGCAGGCTAAAAACGGCACGTCCAAATATGTGTTGGAGAGATGCGCCTCTATTAACGAGTACTATGATATTGCCTTCAAGGTGTGTATTTCCGTCTTTTAGTGTGTGTGCGCGCGTGTGTGTGTTTGTTACTGGGTGGAAACGCTGCAAGCACCACCATGCATGAGGAACTATCATCTCAATGAGTCTCATCTTATGCAGATCATGAGAGACCTTTATTTTTTTCTGGTGTACTTGTTGCTCCTTGTGTTGCTGAAGCTCCTGGTGCTTGAAGACAAGTGGAGAAGTTCATTTTCACATCTGCCGTTGGACTCCAAGGGTTGCTCTGATCTCATATTTTCATCAAAAACAACCCAAACGGCTGTTCTGCTAATGTAATTATGAGAGTGTGGTGACAGAGTTGCCTGCAATCATCTTAAATCTCCTCTCTGCACATTACCTGCAACAATTTGGACTGTTTTCTTGGTTGCCAACTGCTTCATGCAGGTTCAGGGCGTGATTCTTTGCTTTAAAGCTCAATAAGGGGTTGTTTTTCTTTGTCTTGTACTCTGCAGGTGATGCTCCTTGGAGATTCAGCGGTGGGGAAGACCTGCGTCTTGGTGCAATTCAAGGATGGGGCATTTCTGGGAGGCAACTTTATAGCCACCGTTGGGATAGACTTTAGGGTGAGACCTTTTCATTCAACCTTTATTTAGACAGGTTAATCCCATTGAGCCTTGGGGACTCATTTACAAGGGAGACCTGAATTTTATCAGAGTGATGACAACAGTGGACAATCATAAAAAATGCGCACAATTTTTCTTTAACAAGTTAAAATAAAATGGCAACCAAAAGGATAATCAAAGGAAATGTAACAAAACAAACAAACAAAAACAGCTAGATTGTAAGGCGGGGTAGAAAACTAAAAACAGGAACTTGTCTAAATTGGTTTTTCCCAGGAACTTAACAGATGTTTGAAGCCACTTAGAGAGGTCAAGGTCAAGAGCTTCAGATCTTTTTGTAAGATATTCCAGGAAACAGGAGCCGAGTAGGAGAAGGTCCTTTTGCCTAGTTCAGTCCTCACTAAGGGAACACTGCAGGTAATAATGTCCTGAGAGTGCACGCTGTAGCTGCACTCATGCAGTGACAGGAGGAGATGTATGAAGGCAGCAGACCAAGAAGTGATTTAAAGATGAAAATGTACCGGTGGTGGAGACTGTGTAAAGTTAATGATGTCCAGTTAACCAGTGAATACAGGGTGCAGTGATGGGTACGGTAGTTACTGCCAGTTATGAATCTTATCGCACCATGATAGACAGCATCCAACAGCTGCAGAGTGCTTGTAGGAGCGTTCATGTAAATAATGTCACCGTAATCAATGGAGGGAAAAGTCGCAGTTACAAGGTGTTTTCTAGCATTCAGGGTTAGACAGGATCTGTTTCTGAAAAAGAAACCCAGTTTAACTTTCAGTTTCTTTACCAAGTTTTCCACATGGAGCTTAAAAGAGAGATGCGAGTCGACCAAGATACCCAAATATTTGTAGGAATCAACAAACTCAATAAGGACACAAGTTGAGGATAAAATCAGAGGAAGAACTGCCGGGACTGACTTCCTGTTTGATAAAAGCATCCCTTTGGTTTTGTCTGCGTTTAGCACCAGTTTGAGACGGAACAAATCTGACTGGATGATGTTAAATGCAGATTGCAAAAGCTGGAAAGCCTTTGCAACTGTTTTAGCTCGACAATTAACAACTGTGTCATCAGCATAGAAATGTAAGGGTGTGTCAAGGATGCTCTGACCAACAGGGTGGGTCCTAAGACAGATCCTTGTGGTACACCATTGTTGACTGTTAAATAACTGGAAGAAGTTATGTTGAACACATTGCCTCCGATCTGAAAAATAGTTAGAGAACCAATGTGTATGTTCTGAGAAACAAATTTCTGAGCGCTTATGACGCAAGATGTTATGATCCACAGTGTCAAAAGCTTTAGACGGGTCTAAGAAAAGTGCAGCACAATAATCCTTAGCATCCATCGCTTCAACAACATCATTAAGAACCTTCAGTGAAGCAGTCGTTGTGCTGTGTTGTTACCTTGCCTGTGTGAGCAGATTATAGTTCTTTTTATCCATTGCTCTGTGTTCTTGTTTATTTTCACAAAGAAGTGGGTATTCTTGTGTTGCATTCGATAAACAAGTGGCAGGAGTGACACGGGGCCCCAATTATCACCCAGAACGCCTCACACGTTCTGCAACTATCGCACCAAAAGTATGAGTCCCTCTCGAGTTCGCAGACCACTTGTGCTGCTAGGAGCAGCGGACGGCTTCGTAAACGTCTTGGCAGATGCCTGCCCACGTCCTCGTCTCCCTCGGAAAGATTGGCTGCGGCTCAGCTCGACCCCGGAGGACTCAACCCGGCTGTCAGACGAGCCCGCAGACCCACACAGTGGCTGTTGAATTCCAAACATCGTCCTCTTCGTATACAGGAACAACCGTACAGGCACCGTTGAATGCAAAGCCGCTCAGGGTGGTGGCGTACCACCACGCATGAGGGTGCACCGTTTAGGCAAAGGGTAAAAAATGTGTGGTTTTACAGTGAATTCAACAATAGATTCACACCAGAGCAACAGGTTCACCCCCCCACACACACACACACACACACAAAAAATGCTCCAAATATGGAAGCAGAGGCGTCAGTTTCACAAAATTCACAATGAATTCATTCAGAGAAACGTCTGCCGAGGAACGACCTCTTTGTTTCTCTGTTGGTTAATGAGTGTGTGTGTGTGTGGGGGGGGGGGGGGGGGCTGAAGTAGGCAGAGATAAACCGTCGAGTCAATATGCTGAGCGTGTCCTCTCTGTACAGGCTGTTGAGGCAGTTTGAACATGTAGCTCTATTTTCAGCCTGCTTCCTTGTAGCAGTTACTCAGCATGCAGGCTGCTCTCACATCATAATTGGAGAGGAAGGGGGGAAAAAATGGAAACCCATGGCAACTAATGCAAGGGTTGAGCCACGCTCGTCCTGCCAATACACAGATTTCAGCAGGTGGCAGTTCAAGCTGCCAGTTTTTGCTGATTTTTTTTCTTCTCATACACTTAAGGCAGAGAGGTTTGTTTTGTTCCCCTGCTTTTCTTTAAGTGCACGTTTGTGCTTTCACCGGAAGAGCAGAGGCTGTTTGTGATGACCTGCAGCCCATCTCTTCATCAAGGAAGTGCTTTAAAAAAAAAAAAAGTTTCACTTCCTCCTCCTGCTGTTTAGGTGTTCAGGTCGAAACACAGCTGGTTGGTTGCTGAAGCACGTTCTTTTACAAACACACTGGGTTATATATCTACTCGTGTCACGAAGAGCAGTTCTTAAGTTAAAAGATGCGCACTGCCGCGCGTTTTGTTTACCTACAAAAACAGCCGAAGGGACTGAAAATACAACAGGAGACGTTTGTGATCGAGAAGTCCAACATTTCTGATGTATTTATGCTCAGATTTATTGAGCAAAGTATGCAGACAGCACTTGAGACTATAGTCGTACTCGTTCTCTTTTCTTTCACGTTTAGAAGCAGTTTCACTCATAAATGTTCATCATAACGTCTTCTCTGAGATTCTACGCAGATCCTACGACCAGCCTAATGTAGGTCATTTAGACGACTCGGGTTTTCACGTGGTTTTTCGACACATAAGACAAGAAGGGGGTTGGAAATACATTTTGTTCATCTTTTTGTTCGTATTATGAGCTGGATAACTTGAAAAATAAGTAACAGGCCAACATCCAAGATGGCTGCCGTCATATAGGCCACCATTGGTCACCCCTTGGCTCCGCCACTGCACCTAGTGGTGGATAAAATTGCTCCTTCCGCTCGCTAAAATCCATCACTCAGCATCACCTCAGGCAAGCATAAAATAAACAAATAGATAAAAACCACTTGATTGAAGGTTTAATTTCCTTCCCCGTTCAATCCCAGTCCAGAAAAACACTCACCCCGAAAACTACAAAACACTCACTCTTCAAAAATGAGGGACATCGGCATACTGCTTGTTTATAATGAGTGTGTATCTGCTTATCAGAAATTCTAATTAAAATACTGTATTTGGAAAACTACTGGAGTTCGATTTGCTCGTTTGCAATGAGCAGCTTTAAATAAAAGCACATTCATATTAAATACGTCTTTTAGCTGTGGTCCACATGAACTCCAAGTTTACTCGAGCAGGAAGTGGACGGGGGAGTGTGTTGTTGTGTCTTTCTCACTCCGCCATAATGAAGTCTAATCCCGCGGCCTCGTTATTGTGTAGGTGTTGATTTCTCTGCCAGCATTCAGAGACACTTCTGGTTTCCTTGTTTCTTCTGCCACGCACTGCGAGCCGTCTCTCACTGTCCCCCTTGTCTCCGCAGAACAAAGTGGTGGACGTGGACAACTTGAAAGTCAAGCTGCAGGTGAGAAAGTCGCACCTTTGTTCACTTTTCACCTCATGGCAGCTGTGTACAATCAAACGAGGGTTATTGTGTCAATGTTTATGAAGCATTCACGCTATTGTGATCCGTTGTTCTTCTGTATGTTTTTCAGCATCTTTCTCGTTCCACAATTTTTGTGCTCTTTCAACAAATCATAAATCAAAACGTTCACCTCGTCCAGGACAATCCTGCTATGACGTTTGGTATTGGTGCAACTTTAGCTTTTTGAAATATTTAGCCTTTGCTGCCGTTTTTTCCTCATAGAAAATGAATTGAGCTCATTTTACATCCTTCAGATTTTAAGAACAGTTTACAACCTTTTACTGCTCTTTTCACATTTTGTTCTGCTTCAGCTTCTTTCAGCTTCTTGTGCAAATTTATTTAAACCGTTTTAAAACTATTTTCAGGTAATTTCAGTTGTTTGTCCTGCTGTTTTATGCTCCTTTCAGATTCTTTCTAACCACAACATTTATGTGCTTCTTTAAACTTCTTTCTGCTGATTTCAGCTTGTTATGCTCATTTCAGCTTATTTCTGCAAGGTTCCGCTTTTTCTGCTATTTCAGCTACTATTTTGCAGTTTTATGCTATTTTGAGCTTTTTCAGCTAATTTCACATTTTTTCTACTAATTTAAACTTTTTTCAGCTATTTTCAGCTAATTTCAGCTGTTTCTTCTGCTGTTTTGTGCTCCTTTCAGATTCTTTCTGTTAACATTTTTGTGCTTCTTTAAACTTCTTTCTGCTAATTTCAGCTTGTGGTCCTTTCAGCTTATTTCTGCAAGTTTCAGCTTGTTCTGCTATTTCAGCTACTATCTAGCAGTTTAATGCTAATTTTAGGTTTTTTAGCTAATTTCACATTTTTTTTCCTACAAATTTTAACTTTTTTCTACCTCAAAATTGTGCCACTTCGGTAAATGTTTCTTTCAGCTTTTTTAACTACTTTTCAGCAGTTTTATTTTGCTGATATTATTGTTTTTTTTCCAGATAATTTCCACCTTTTTGTGCTTATGTTTGCTTCTTTCAGCCTAATTAGGCAAATATGTTCTTTCTGCTTTCTTCTGCTAATTTAAGCTTGTTCTACATTTTCCGCAACCTTGTTATAACATTTTTAGCAAGTTTCAGCTGTTTTCATATAAATTCAAGTTTTTCATGGTAATTTCTGCTATTTTCAACCTACTTAACTTCTTTCTGCTAATTTCAGCTTGTTATGCTCCTTTCAGCTTAATTATGCTAGTTTCAGCTATTTCTGCTATTTCAGCTACTGTTTAGCTGTTTTATGCTAATTTTAGCATTTTCAGCCAATTACACATTTTGTTTTTGTTTTTTGGGCTCATTTCAGCCTTTTCTGCTTCCTTCTGGTGTTTAAGCTTTCAGCTACTGTTCAGCCATTTTTTGCTCATTTCAATTTTTGTGCTAATGTCTGCGTATTTAAACCTACCAGTATTTCAGCAAATAAGTGTTCTTTCTGCTGTCTTCTGCTAATTTAGGCTTGTTCTTCCATTTCTTCTAAATTTCAGCATGCTTTCAGCTAATTTCAGCTGTTTTTAAGCAATAAGCATTCACACTGCATTTTTTGCAAGAAATGCAATTTCGCAAGTTTTCTTTTATTTCCATCATGTGACATGTCGATCATCCTCACCTGTTTATTCAACATTGAGTAGGAGGTGACAGAATTAGATTACGCTGCACACCTCACTCTGATTTCAACAGTTTTTCACGTGAGACAGTCTGGTTGTCAGGTAAAATTAATGGACTCTGAGACGTTAAATTGGCCCTGTCCCTCAAACAGAAACTGTAAAAACATGTGACACAAAGATTTAAAGTTAATGACTGACTAAGATGCTGAAAGTAGCAAATCAAGGTTTATATCTACCTGGAAGGAAAAAAAAGTTTTTGTTCTTTTGATTCATTCATTCAAGCTTTATTTATATAGGTTAATCCCATTGAGCCTCGGGGACTCATTTACAAGAGAGACCTGATTTTAGTAAAGAGTGATGGCAACAGTAGACAGTCATAAAAAGAAGCAATCAAATTGAGAAGAACAAGTGAAAAAAGAAAAATGGTATTAACAGGAACATGTCTGCATTGGGTTTTGCCAGGAACTTAGCAGATGTTTGAAGCCACTTAGAGAAGTCAAGGTCAAGAGCTTCAGATCTTTTTGCAAGATGTTCCAGGAAACAGGAGCGGAGTAGGAGAAGGTTAACCGTTGATACAGGCATGACCAAACCAGCCAAACTTGGTAAATATCTAAACAGCAAAAATGATACATATTCCTCCTTTTAAATTAAACTAGTATTCTTTAAAACAAAAAAATGGCATATTGCTGACTTTATTGCCAAAGTTGTTTTTATTAAATTCTGTGATCTATTAGCCCTCAGAGCATGTTATTGGGATGACTTTCAGCTACTACCACTCCAAATTTGAGCTCAATGTCTCATAAATTGACTTAATTATTTACATTTTTGTGTTTGCTTTGGTTGGTTAGCTGCGGCGGCCATCTTGAATCGTGTTGAATCTAAAAGTTAATCATTTGTGGACTAGCATTCAGTGATGACCTTCTGAGTTTCATTATAATCTGTTTGCTGCTTCATGAGATATTTTGCTAACAGACAAATAAACACGTGCACACAAAGCTGGTCTTGAGGAATCAGGTGACGATTGCCGACTTGTTTGATTTAACAGTTTTCAGTTTTCGCTTCACATAAATGTTCATGTTTAACCCCCACGTGCCAACAGCTCGTTGCACCTGTGCCATCAGACTCAACACCGGGATCTTTAATAATTTACCAGGAAGGTCCTGACGTGCCTTATGCCTAACCATAAATGTATTTATCCACGTTTTCTTTCCTAAAATAACATTTCCTATCTAACCAGTTAGAAATAAGCGACCGAGAGATAAGAACTGTGGTTATTTTTCTCTGCTAGATGTGATGGGAAAAGCACCCTCTGCCCCTGAAAGACACTGGCCATAAAGGTCAAGTGTAATAACACTGTGCTGCCCATATAGCTACCTGTTTTTATATTTATTCATACATTTTTTATTAATTTATTTATTTTTACTGATTTGGTGTGCTGAGGTCTGGCTGGTGCCAATCATCTTTAAAAGTGGGAAAAATAAAATCAACCCACGTCATTTAAAATGGCCACCAAAGCTAGGTCACTTTAATCTTTTACAGTTCAGAATATGAGTCAGGGATCAGCCTCAGCTACTACCACAACAAATCTTAGCTCAGTATCTGCAAAACTGACAGCGGTATAGCCCTTTGGGTGTATTTTAAGGTTTGTTGGCTGTGGCGGCCATCTTAAAGTAGATTGAAGCCTTAAGTGAACCAGCTGTAGACATATAATCAATTATTACTACCTGCAAGATTTATTACAATCCATCCAGTAGTTCATGAGATATTTTGCTAACAGACACAAACAGTAACCTTATTTCCCAACTTCACCTGTCACCTTAAAGTGTTATTCTTTTATTTTTACTGAACCTGCATACTTGTACTTTTAAGTTGTAAATATTTTTACCATCCCAGCGGAGATAAAACACAGCATCAAACACTAATTCACATAAAAACTCAAAATCAAACATGAGTTGTGCTTTGCTCTGCAGATCTGGGACACGGCTGGCCAGGAGAGGTTCCGCAGCGTAACGCACGCCTACTACAGAGACGCTCAGGGTAAGTAAATCGCCTCTCGGTGCAGAGAAACCGTGTTTGTACGTGTGAACGGACGTGAAAGTGGCACTTCTCTTTGCTCTTGCAGCGCTGCTCCTTCTTTACGACATCACCAACAAGCCGTCATTTGACAACATCAGGGTAAGACTGCCTCAGATCCTATTTTTTCCCCTCTACCTGCCTCCTCGTCTCTTTACATGCAGAGCAACTTTCCTGCTCTGAACCTCTTTTGCACAGTCGCCCAGTTCCAGTAATGAAAAGCAATAAAAAGCACTCAAGAATGAGACTGTCGCCATGACTGATATAAGCCCGGGAGACGAACAGCGCTGCCTTTAAGTGTTTGTTTTAGTTATTAACCCATCTCCTTATTTCTACTTCTTCAAGGCCTGGCTGACTGAAATACATGAGTACGCCCAGAAGGATGTGGTCATCATGTTGCTCGGCAACAAGGTGAGGAAAGCTTCCTTTACGTGTGTGTGGCCTAAGAAGAGGAGGAGGATAACTTGCTTCCTGTGCACCATTCTAACTCGTTCTTATCAGACTCTGGCAGATATGTGAACGCCCAAAAGGCCAAGAAGCAAACTCTGTCTCGCTGAGTGGTGACCAGTGCTTAATTTTAGCGGGATCCTGCCAGAACAGGATCTGGGAACTCTCTTATTTTGAGTGCGATCCGGTAATTGTTTACTTGGATCTGTTAACTCTCAGGCTTATTAATAATAAAGTTTTGAACAAATATGACTGCCTTGAGTGATAATCTTATGTTGGATATGTCAATTGAAAATAATTACATAAACACTCATTTTAAACACAACAGCCACTTACGGCTTCTTAATATCACATACAATCTGCCCCTTGAAGTAAGCATTCCCTTTTCTACCCTTAAAAAAGTCTCTGCCCCTAAAAGAGTGGCGGGGGTGAGTAGAGTTGCATTCGGGTGTAGTGAACTAAGCCTCAGGTCAAAACCTGATCCTGGGACAGGAACTGTTATTTCATTGATTTGAGTCCAGAAATACAAATTAAGCTCACCCAGAGACTTTCTAAGTGTGTCCTGCACTAGTCAATTGAAAGAACACTCTCTTTTTATTATCATTACTATTTTACAATATCTTGATAATCAAAGTGTGTTTAGTTCAAACCATTTTAAATGTTGAAGTGAACTACTCACTTTAAATCAACTGTGAAACAGTATTAATGATTTCTAATCCTCATTCAAAGTAGAAATCAAGTTAAAATGCCTGTTACAACTAATTATGCATTTTTGATTTTCTGTCTGAAATGAGCAAGTTGTGATGTAGGTCAAAAGTCAGAGAACGGTCAAAAACATGTTTATCGGAACGAAATGTCATGTTTAACTCTCTCAGACAGATAGAAGGAAGACTGGCTCCTAAATGTCTCTGTTTCTTCAAAACATTTCTCTGTCTGTTCTTAAAACATCTCACTGTTTTTCTGACTTGTCGTAACCTCTTACGTCACTAAAACCACACCCCTGTTGGTTCTTTCAACCAATCAGGATTTCCCAAAAACGGGACCGGAAGCGAACTCTTTAAAAAGTCGACACTTCCTAGTTCCAGTCAGTTCAAAGTTCTGAGACATGAACCAAAGTTCTGAGAGCAGAACCGACTTTTTTGACCCACCACTGTTGTGGTGGGTCAAAAATTAAAACACGTTTCCGTCCACATTTAATCATTCAAGGCACGATAGTACTCAGTCCAGACAAATGAAAGAATCCGTTTAAATTATGGATAATATCAGACAAGTATCATTCATTACACGGGCCCAAAAAATCAGATCCTACCTGGCCCCAGCCCGTAGCTGAACCTAGCCATTTCTGAACCCCACCCGACCCGACGAATTAACAGTATTTACAGGTCCGAAACCCCCCCCCACAAACACACACACACACACACACACACACACACACACCCACACACATTTTTAAGTAAGCTTTGACTAATTATATAGTTATTAACAGTCAGCAGACGCGTGCAGCTGAATAAAAGGAGCAGAAGATCGGAGCTGAGGGGGCGTTTGTCCTTTCTTGGCCATCAAAGCACATTAAATCCCTCTCTGACATGTCTGCTTTGGGATCTCACCTGTTTGGGTCATCAGCCGCACATGTCCGTTGAGTGCAGTGGGTAAATGAACGATCATTTGGGCCAGGGGTGACAAACTCGCTTACAAAAGGGAGCCAAAATTAAAACATTTATTCAAACTAAGGGCCAGTTTCAGAATCCACATTAACTTAAGTTCGATACCCAACATCTTTTCTTGGTTGCAGATTCCTCAAAAAAAAAAAAAAAAAAAAAAGTTTGGTCTCATTTGGCGTTCTCTGTTGCACTTTTGACATCATAATCAAAGATCACTGAAAAAATTCAAGTGAAAAATGTATTATATGTTTAACACATCATCTTGGGGGCCAGATAAGATGTCACCAAGGGCCACATGTGGCCCCCGGGCCTTGAGTTTGACACGTGATTTGGGCGATGGATCACTTCCTGGCAGAATAGCCCATCTGAAGCTTAACGGAACTTTATTTTACCTCGTTCAAGGCTGGTCAGCGCGCGGTGAAATGACGGTGTGCAGCTGCTGTAGCCATGTTGCCATATAATTGGATTGTGGCCAATAGTCCGACAACGACCTGGCCCGCCCATCCAGCACATTATCATGGCCCGGCCTGCCCCGAATTTGGGTCGGGCTTTGGGCCCAGGTTAGAAAATGACAGCCCTAGGGGTGAGTTCCGAGCTAACCAGGCAGTCGTACATGGGCCGCCATGAACAGATGGAGGAGGCACCTGGAAGTTTCACATATGGAGTCGGACAGTGAATTCAGCGGAAAAGAGTCAGTTCGGAACCGTCAAGTACACCAGAATGCAGGAAATTGCATCTACTTTATTAAAAAATTTCAGGGGGAGGACCCCCAGACCCTCCCACCCACCCAGCCCACCAGCTATTTGTGTTTGCGTCCATCGATGGGTTTACAAATTAAGCCCTGCTTGTGACACAAGTAAAATGTTGTCTGAAGGCCTCCTCTGGTGCCTCAAAAGGGTTTCAGATGTCACATAGAGGTGTTAATCTGCGGCGGAGTCCTTTGGCTGGCAACCTTTGACCTCTGTCATCTCTCTGTTACAGTCGGACATGACCGCAGAGAGAGTGGTGAAGATGGAGGAAGGGGAGAAGCTGGCCAAGGTAACGCAGGACGTCTCCCAAACACCGGGCTCTCCGAGCTCCTGTAACAATTTTTTTTTCTTTTAGGAGTATGGAGTGCCGTTTATGGAGACCAGCGCCAAGACGGGAGTCAACGTTGAGCTGGCATTTCTCGCTATCGCAAAGTATGTCTTGGAGCCGCTGGGTCAATATCTCTACATTATGAATGAATTGAAGCGAACGGGAAAGTTCTGCACCTTGCTCTCCATTTCTCTTCTGCTCTGTTTGGCATTTTAGCCACTTTTATAAGATTGTTTTAGTTTCTCAGCTTTATTTTTATAATGTCATCTCACAGCAGTCATGAGGTTGTTATCGCCCGCTGCTGAATCCAAAAGGGTGATAACGTTTTTGCCTGTGTTGTGTTTGTCTAAAAAAATTAACAAAAGATCTCATGGACCAGTGGAAAGATTTTAATGAAACTCTCAGAGAATTGTCATCACATGAACATCTATAACTGATTAACTTTTGGATTCAACCCGATTCAAGATGGACGCCACAACTAAGAGAATTTAGCAAACACCAAAATGGCTAAAACTCAATCAGTTTCACAGATTTTGAGCTAAACTTCAGTGTGATAGTAGCCGAGAGTCCTCCTCATCACATACGTACTTCCAAATGCTACACAGTGCACAGGTTTTAAAACTAAATCAACCCTGTCTGTGTTAGCAAAAGTATCTCATGAACCACAAGACGGATTGTAATGAAACTCTCAGATTATAATCCCTGGATAAACATCTGAAACTGATTAACTTTTCAAGTTACCACAATTTAAAATGGCCACCACAGCCAACAGATTTTATCCAACACAAACAAAGCTGTAATATAGCAAATTTTACAGTTATTACACTATAAATTGATGTGGTAGTAGCTGACAGTCATCCCCAACATATGCTGTGAGTGTGAGCGTGTCTCACATGATCATGCTCAAAGTCTTTTACAAAGTTTGACTGAAACATCATTGCTTTAAAATGCTTTTTGTCCTATAGTGTTTTATGACAAGATTTTATTTTGAAAATCAGCTTGTTGGATCCCCTTCAAGTGTTAAAAATATTCAGAAAAACACTTTAAATTGGTCTTAGACATTTTCAGTCTTCTTGGAGTTAAGAGTGGGAAGAAGACTCTTTATTGTTTGTCAAAAGTAGATCTTAACAGTGTCCTGATTGGCTGGTGCTGGTGAACCCAATGGTGCAGGCAGGCAAGGACTCAAGATAACATAAAATAAGGAATTTATTTTACAAAACAAAAGAGCTGACAAGGCAGCAAACTTACATAAACCAGGAGATGAACACGTGGAGCAGACTAGGCATCACAAGGAACAAGACAGGACATCACCAGTGGACAGATAACAATGCCAGGACAAGGACTGGTCCAGATCGCTTTCTTCCTTTGGTCCGTGGTCCAGTTCTGGAGCTTGTGGGTCAGTCTGGGTCCCCCCTGGCCTGTCTGCAACACTCTGACTAACCTGTGTTCACTGACACTCTTCTGTGGGTATCAACGTTAAACATGTTCTTCAGAGCTTTCCAAGTAGGGATATGTGGAAATGTTATAGACAGTTAGTATCTTACCTGTTGCAGATAGTTCAGTTTGTAGAAACAGTTTAATTCTGACCGCCTTGACGAGTTAATGATGAGTCCAAAATGGATTGTTATTGTTTTAAAACGACTCTAATTTTAAAATATTTTTATCAGTTTTACATAACGCAGTTCTTTCAACCATATTTCTGCTAAAAGTAGAATCAGACCTCTCCGATTTGTCTTCATCTAACATGTCAACTTCTATATGTTCTCCTGTTGTCTAGACTTTTAGTGCAAGCACTTTACTTTTGACAACTTTATTGAGATAATTTCAAACGACAAACGGCCCGGTGGACAAGATCATCAGTGACCTTTTTGTTCTTGAGTAGCTTTGTAACGATTCATGTCTTGTTTACGTTGCTGAGCAGTCTTCACTGTCGTCTCCGTTCAGTTTTTGGATAAATTATTAAACTCCTCTGAGCATTTTTTTAAGAACCTATAAGGGGGAAAAAAAAAACTTTAATAGACAGAGTTTATCAGTTGTTTTCCTCTTTTTTATTTCTTCTTTCACAAGTGATTCCCAAATCAAATATTTTCCACTTCATCCGCTCTTCGCCTCGTCGCGCAGAAAGAACCATCTGCAGCGATGAAGTTAATTTACCTTTAAATTGAACTGAGCGTGCACCTTCCGCTGCCTGTAAGAGAAAAATGGACTTCAAGTCGTTTTAATGAAGGTCGTCCTCCTGCACTCGGGAACATCCAGGCTCGGCGTTCTACTCTGGGTTCGGGCTTGTTTATTTATAGTTTGTGCACGGTTGCTCATGAAGCCTCTGACTCCAGCGTCTAATCCAGGATAATAGTTTTTTTAGTTCATTTGCCGTCTGCTGCTGTCTCTTAATGTGATCGTGCATGTTTGAGGCTCCCCGTGGGTGTCAGTCAATTTCTTCTCCATTTGTGCACGCTTTGAAAATTAGAACGACAGATTTTTCTCCCTTTTCCTTCAGAAATGACGGCTTATGTTCCTCGAGCTGTGAGAGCACCACACCCAGTTTGGAAAGAAATTATTCATGCCAAAGAAAAGCTCCTGTTTCTAACAAATCAGTATTTTCCTGCTGAAATTCCTTAAAAAAAAACATGAACAATTAGCTAATAAATGTAAAGGAAATGGGCAGAATGCTGTAGATTTAGCCTTTTCTCATCCCCGTTACATCTTCCAAGCATCACAACAAAAAATGTATAAACACATCCAAGTGTCATTAAATGTCAAAATCTCAAAGCTCATTTTATTTAGGTTATATGTTGCCTCTTCCTCAGAGTCTTTGATAAAAACGTGGCAGAGCACAAACCAAAATCTGTTTGGCTTCTTTAATTGTAAAATCAGAGAGTTTTAACTCCGCTTTAGTTCTTGCAAATCCCTTTTGGAGAGGCGCCTGATTCAGTTGCATTCTTCTGGAAAATGTTCACAGAACAATAATTAGACGTCTTCAGCTGGCATTAGTCGCGGCGCAGAGCACAATTAAAACCTAAAAGAAGAGAAAAATGACAAAAGAAGTGGAGCGGAGGCTCTAACTCCTGCACTGGAAGAAACAACAAGAGCTTTGCTTTGATTTGAATCTTTTGGTTGATCTGTTGAAAGACTATGAACAAGGAACATCTTACCTGTTGTGGATGGCCTCAGTTTGGACAAATGGAGTTTAATTCTGACCAGATTAATGAGTTAAGAGCTAATCTGAGGATGAGTTCATTAAATTCTCATGGAGAGTTTAAGGCACGACTGGACCTTCTGTCAAAACAGCAAATATTGTAAAATGGACAACAGAAAACAAAATGGCAAAGGAACCAGATCTAAATTTATTTTACAGTTTTAACTGCTGGGAAGTTAAAGGGATGATTCAGAATTTTTTTAATTGAGTAATGTAGTAGTTGAAGTATTGAAGTAGTTAATATCTTGCCTGTAGTAGACAGAGTCTTAATAAGATGTATTTGTGGAAACAAACAATGAGTTTTACAGAGGTCAGGCTAACGACTGATTAAAACGGGTCTAGTATTTCTCAGTACATTTTGGTTTGTACAAATATTGCATTTCATAGTAAATGTTACTCAACTATGCTGTCATAATTACTCATTTTTATTGTCTCTTGATAGTTGTCCCCTATCGCAGGGTGAAAAGGGGACTTGAAAAAACCTGTTCATCCTTCAACCTTGTGAGCTTGAGCTTGAGCTTGAGCTTGAGCTTGAGCTTGAGCTTGAGCTTGAGCTTGAGCTTGAGCTTGAGCTTGATCTTGATCTTGATCGGTCCATTAGCAAAATGTCTCATGGGCCACAGAACAGATTTTAAAGTCATGCCATTTCAAGATGGCTGCCACAGCTAATAAATGTCCGCAAAGCACAAAATTGACTATAACTCAGTCAGTGTTGCAGATAATGAGCTAAATTTTGGCATGGTAGTAGCTGAGACTGATCCCCAACACACACTCTGAGAGCTTACAAATGATTGTTTTAAAGTCCTTCTGTGAGAAATAATTGGACATATTTTTCATGTGACAGATTGTGATGATCAATAACTGGAAGTTCGTCTTCAGCAGATTAACTTTTGGAGTTAGCCTGATTCAAGATGGCTGCCGCGGCTAATCGACCTCAGCGGTACACAAAAATTGTCGATTTTACAGATATGGAGCTAAACTTTGTTGTGGTAACAGCTGAGCATTATCCAACATATTATTTTTTATTTTTTTTGCTACATGTTGTCATCATACAATGATGAAATGAGTTCTCTGCATTTAACCCATCACATCTGGGATACACCCAGGTGGAGCAATGGACAGCTGTGTAAGAGCCCTGGGAGCAATTAGGGATTGTGTCTTACTCAGAGACACTACGACATGTGGGCATGGCGGGAAGTTGAACCAGTGACTTTCTGATCCCAGGCCGGCTGCCCTACCTCTACACGCCGAGATGATGTAATCCATGGTGGTGATGGTGCATTTAGTGCACTGTCCATCACTGCACTGGCTCCCCATGCACGTGCCCCTATACCCAAAGAGTCCTGGTTAGGCTTAGCAGTCAGGGTTAAGTTTAGGGTCAAAGGTCAGAGAGTTAGGTTTAGGGTCAAAGGTCAGAGGGTTAGAATTAGGATCAAAGGCCAGTGGGTTAGAATTAGGGTCAAAGGTCAGAGGGTTAGGTTTAGGGTCAAAGGTCAGAGGGTTAGAATTAGGATCACAGGTCAGTGGGTTAGGATTAGGGTCAAAGGTCAGAGGGTTAGGTTTAGGGTCAAATGTCAGAGGGTTAGGATTAGGGTCAAAGGTCAGAGGGTTAGGTTTAGGGTCAAAGATCAGAGGGTTAGGTTTAGGTTTAAAGGTCAGAGGATTAGGTTTAGGGTAAAAGGTCAGAGGGTTAATTTTAGGGTCAAAGGTCCGAGGGTTCGGTTTAGGGTCAGGAGCCGGGGTCAGGTTTAGGATTTAGGGTCAAGGTTAGGATTAGGGCTTGTCATTACAGGTTAGGTTTTCTGGTCAGGGTTTAGGTTTAGGTTAAAAGTCATCGGTCACAATCTCAAAAAAAAAAAAAAAAAGGAAATAAAAACCACATCAGCTGTAATTCACCTTTCATCCAGCCCTCTTAGTGTCCAAGTTGTTAATCCAGACCCTCAAATTCACGCAGTAGGTATAATTTTCTAATATAATTCCAGCATTTCTTAATTTAAGATGACCTTGGATTAAAACTCTCGTTATGAGATGAGTCAGGCTTTCTGTATTTTTTTTTCTTCTATAAATTATAATCTGGCATGGCTGTGAGCAGTTTGGAGCTGAAATGTGCTTAATCTGTTGTTTTCATGCGAAGCTGCGGCAGATGATAACACACCGGAGGCTCTGTGGATAAAATCTCAATAAGCTGTTGACTACCTGTGCCCCCCCCCCCCCCCCCCCTCCTCTCTCCTCTCCGTCAGGGAGCTGAAGCACAGAGCCACGCAGCAGCCGAACGAGCCCAAGTTCAAGATCCACGACTACATCGAGTCCCAGAAGCACAAGTCCGGCTGCTGCAGCCTCGGCTAGCAGAGGCCGGACGCCAGGCGGAGAGAGAGACGCAGAGATGTGCTCTCTGTCTTTAACAACGACCAATCCAAGCACCGAACCCAGAGAGGTGGAGGCCCTCCACCTTCTCCACAGAGCTTGTTTTGTTGTTTGTTTCCTTTGGTTTTATTTGTTTTTTTGGCTGAATGAAAGGGAATCGGGCTTGGCTGCCATCCCTTCGCTGACGTGATTTTAAATCGTTCGTGTACTGTGTAGAAACGTTCGTGGTCTTTGTGGTGACAGTTGTATCAGGAGTTAGAACCTAATATTCACAGCGGGGACAAAAAGGTGTCGCTCGGACCAGATAAACCACAGTTTTTAAGTGTTTTTAGCATTTTGAAGCCATGCAGCTGTGCGTCTAACTGGACGGTGAACTCTCGGCCTTTTGAGATTAGTGGAGTTCAGCCTGAATGGCCCCCGTCTGTTCACATCTGTACTGCTGTTAGATAGAATAAAGCCAATATTTTGGGGCAAATTTCCCACCATGTGTGTGGCTGTGCATTTCATCCAAAAGGACTGCACACGTTCGCGTGCTGGAGGAGGTCATTGTTTTCCACACATAGTCCGGCACTCCAAAATGTTGTCGTGTGTCTTTTTAACCATGGATGTTGTTGTTGACGCATCACATCGTGCACCTCTGTTCTTTGTACAATTGTTCATTATGAATGTGTGGTTGTGCAAAATAAATCATGTCTGCTTCTCTTCGGAGGTGTCAAAATGATCACAAAGTGCCATTTAAGTGCTTTGTTGTCATATATATATATATATATATAAAGTATATTTTGTAATGTTTGTGGGGTTTGCTTTATTCAAGTCTGTCTTGTGTGTATGTGTGCGTGCGAAGCGTGTGTTGGGGGCAGAAGTTCCTCCTGAATCAACGAGTGTGTGGAGCTCAATGAGCCACAGTGTGGCAGCAGCGACTCTTTATTCTCCTCAATGTGCTGCTTGGAAAAGTAAAGTTTGATTCCTGCTGAAGATGCAACAATAAAAGTGTTTCATTTGTATTTTTTTCTTTTTTTTGCAGGTATAAAGTCAAACAGATTTTATAAAAGGTTGCTCAAAATTTGTCAGTTGGTGTTTAATTAATGGCGTGCTCGCAGTCGATGACATGGTACACCTGAGCTCAGACCTCCCCCTCACATCCTGCTGCACTGTGAGTCATGCTGCAGATGCAGCCATGAACCGCTGGTGCATTTTTACTCATTTAAATTAAAAAATGACATTGGGTGCCTTTCCACGATGAGCCGAGCACTCTGCCGTGATGTTGATTCAGACTGCTGAGGATCGGAGGAGAAGAAGTGAAGAAAAGTGTCAGGAAACCTGTGGCAAAGACGCAGAAATACTCAAATTATTATTATTTTACTAATTGCTGTTGGCTGATCTATCAGACAGATCTCTGATTTTGTTGAATTAACTAGGGGTGTCAATTACCCAAAGGAGCCAAAATTTAAAAAAATTATCCGAGACACGGGCCACTTTCTGCTGATGCATTAAGCCGAGTCATACCTGGTATCTTTTCTTGGGTGCAGGTTCATCGACAAGTTTGATCTGTCTCACCTGACGTTCTGTTCACATTGCTCTTTTCACATCAGAATCAGCAATGACAGAATGATCCAATGCTCTTTTCACATCAGAATCAGCAATGACAGAATGATCCAATGCTCTTTTCACATCAGAATCAGCAATGACAGAATGATCCAACCGTCTTTCTGGCTTCAAAGTCAGGCAGCTGGCAAGAGAAGTCTACGCCAAATGATTTATTCATGTCATTTTAAAGAAAAAAATTAGAAGTGATACTATATTTTACGTTTAAATTATAAACTCGGGGAACCAGATTTGTCCCGCGGCGACTCTTGAGTTTAACATGTGAAAATGATTTAGTTACACACAGGCCTCAAACCAGTTTTATTGCTCAAACACACACGTTGTCAGATCAATTGTGCATTAAAGTGGTAGTTCTGACTTTTTGAAGTAGGTTACTGTAGAACAATTAATGTCTCATCTCAGTATGGACAGGATTGACATGCAAACGGCTAGCAAGGTGTCAAAGTGAATTAAAACAACTCCAACGTGTCAAAATGTCACAGCGGTTCATGCAAACACCTGTACACGACAGACTGTTTCACATCACACGGTTCTTCCCGCAGAAATACAATGAAATTCTTACTGGAAGTGTCCCCAGGTTAAATCAGAAGCGCTAAAGCAAGCTGTTGCTATCAGTTATAACCTTAAAATTTGATCTAAATAACTATTTAAAGTGAAATTGACGGCATTGTATGGATTTATAAAATAGTATTAACAAAAATTGCTGTGAAATTTTCAAGATTTTTGTCAGTTTAAGTCCTGGCTGCCCTAACGTTAGCTGTTAGCTAGACCCTTCCACAAAAGCTCCTGACCTTACAAATTGAGGTCTTGTCTACTGAAGAGGAGCAGGAGTCAAGTTACCAGGATTGGGACAGGACAGGATTTTTTCTGTGGGACCAGAGTGAAAATCCACTCCTGTGTCATCCGCTAGTCTGCGCTATTCCACATATTTTTTTCTATCTAAAGAGACTCAAAATTATTTTACTGTAGTATTCTTGACAGTGTTCTCTTTGTTATTGTTCATTTTAGCATAAAATCAAAGTTTGACTGCAACAGGATCAGGATGAAGTGCGACAGACCCAGAAAACTCTGTAAAAAGTGCTCTATATTTGTTTCTTGCAAGGACACACAGGGATAGTGGACATGTACATACTAGGCTATTATGTCATTGTTTCTAATAAACTCTGTTTGTGTTGTCCAAATGACTCAATTAGGGACAACATTTTTACTTTTTCCACTTTGGAAAGTGTCCCATTTGTGTCACAAAAAAGTTTGTGTGGACAGGAGGCACATACACAACAGAAAATATATATATATTTAATTATCTGGTGTAGTGTGGATGGGTCCTGAAAGTTTTCTGCTGCAGGTAAGATAGTTATTACTCACAACTCCACATAAAATAACTTGTGTTAAAGAAACAAAACAAAACAAAACCTAAAAATATCTTGTATGTAAATCGATTTATCTGCCTAAATGGGACAAAACCTGGCAACCAGGCAATTAAAAAAAAAAACTATAAGAAGTCATGAAGATAAACAAAAGTCATAAAGTGAAAAACTTGATGTGTACTTTTGCATTTCTGTCCTTTAAGATAAAAAAAACAAAATAAAAAATTAATATTCATCAACAGCAGCCAAAAACCACGTTTGTTTGTTTGTTTATCTTTGGGGAAAGCCTAAAATCATCAGCATGGAGACGTATATGAGCCGTCTGACGTTTGATGTATCGATACGCATTTTTGCTCAGATTTGTTGGGTAACATAAAATAGATTTAATGAGTTAAACACAATCCAAGCGTAAGTACGGAAGCCTGTTGTTAAAAAAAAAATAAAATAAAACTTACCAGCAGTTCATCGTACGTGCGTTTGAACACTGAGCTCTTCCTGCTCATTTTTTCTCTTTTATTTAGCAGCAGATTTAATCTTATATTTCTACTTAAACATCCTTTATATTCCACACTTGTCTGATCCCTCCACCTTTGTTTAACCCACAGACAGCAGGCCTAATGTGGATCAGTCATGTGACCATGTGCTTTGTTTACGCTGAGTGCGACCCACGTTCTAGAATTGCTTTTCTGTAAAACTACTGGACTAAGCTCTTTCAAACTGCACCACTGACACAGTTCAAGAACTGTTTTAGGTTTTGAAAATAAAATCAGAGTATTACTTTGGCAAAAATCGACGTAATTTATGTTAATGAATGTTTTTTTCTGGACACTTTTGCTACTCTACTGGTCCCGGTAAAGCAGGCAGCTGGGCTGGTCCGTGAACGCACCTCCTTCTTCCTGAGAGTTTTTTTTGGGGGGGGGGGGGGCAACACTGAAACGCATCGACAGCTGAGTGATCAAATCAGGCTCAGCTCTGGACCCGGGTCAGGATCCTGGGTGAGGTGGACCGCATCAGAACCTGGGTCACGGTACTTCCCTCCCGAACCGGACGGGGGCTGGGTGTTGAGTTTAAGGGACGCAACTCAGACTCCGTCCTCCGCAACATCTCAGCTGCTTCTCCAGAGTGCGTGCGTGTGTGAGCAACAAGTAGAACAGCAGTGGGTGCGCGCGCGTGCGTGTGGACAACATGCCGAGCAAGAAGCAGTCTCTGCGCCCCCGGCTGTGCGCGCTGCAGAAGGGGGACAACGGATACGGCTTCCACCTCCACGGGGAGAAGGGCAAGACGGGCCAGTTCATCCGCCTGGTGGAGCCGGACAGCCCGGCCGAGTCCTCGGGGCTCCGCGCCGGGGACAGGCTCGTCTTCGTCAACGGAGAGGACGTGGAGACCGAGAGCCACCAGCAGGTCGTGTCCCGGATACGAGCCACCGTGGGTCCGCTGGAGCTGGTGGTGGTGGACCCGGACACCGAGCAGCTGCTGAAGAAACACAACCTGAAGTGCCTGAAGGAGTTCGTCTCCGAGGGTCTCCCCTTACCGTTCGAGGAGGAGGAGGACAGGGAGCTGGAGGAGACAGAGAACGGGGATGTGAAGCAGGAGGTGGAGGAGGAGGAAGAGGAGGTGGTGGTTCAAGAGGAGGTGGTGGAGCAGGAGGAGACACCCAAGGAGCTGACCCCGGTCCCGGTCCCGGAGAGGAACGGAGAGGTCCACGTGGAGAAGAAGCTGAGCATCAGCTCTGAGAAGGTGAGTCCAAAAGCTTCATCCAGCTGTGATTGACAGCTGTCAGTCAGGGCTGTGAAACATCTGAACCCCCTCAGAAATCCCCGACCCCCACCTGAAAGGTGTGTTTTAAATCTCAGCTGTGCGTCCTTCATCTCTCGCAGGTTCTGTACACTTCAGGTACTTAAAAAAAAAAAAATATATATATATATATATATAGTGGACTGCAGGTACGCACTCAGTGTCAACAAACGCTGTGTTTTTGTTTTGACTTCCTGTTTGGAGCCAAGATCATCCTTCTCTCCATCCACTCGTCCTTTAAGCACTCTCAGCTTCTGAAGACTAATTATCTTGTTTTCATTCATTCATTCAACCTTTATTTGTTCAGGTTAATCCCATTGAGCCTCGGGGACTCATTTACAAGAGAGACCTGGACTTTTTAGAACTAGACCTTTTAACTTGCGAACGGCTGATACCTTTAAACATACCAGAACCTTCTGGCTCCAGACATCAGCAGGGAAGAAAACGAGCAGAGGACCAGCTGTTCATGTGCAGGATGGTGAAGAAAACAAACCACAACAAACAGGAAATAGTTTGCTGTCTTTTTTTTATTTACGTTCCCACAAAATAAATCCCACTTTGGGGTTTTCTTTTATCTTTGTCTGTTAGACATTATGGGTTTCACTCTTCAACAGCCACTTGTTGGTGTCTGCTCTTATTTTCTCGTGCATATGTGTGTGTGTGTGTGTTTGTGTGTCTGTGCGTGTTGAAATTCACTCAAAGCACTTGAGCAGACGCTCCAGTCAGGGACATCTGTGCCCCTCGCTGCTCCCATCTTGGATGTTTACCCCCGAGGCTGTTTCTGTCTGAGCCTGACACTCATCCTTGGTGCACAACGAGGAAGAAGGAGAGGAGCGTGTTGTGTACCCAGAACCAGAACCTGCTGAGCTCTTCTATTTGATGAGACTACAGTGAAACTGGGATGCCACTGCTGGTCTCCTGAATCCCAGAAGAGTTCACTTGGGAGATTTCTTTTTTTTTTTTAGCATGCAATCTGAAATATTCTACTCTTTTTTTTACAGGAAAATATGCAAAGTGTCTTTTTGGATAAGTGGCCTCCTTCACCCAGTTGTTTAAAACTCGTAAAAATAAAAAAATAAAGATCTTACACGGAAACCACAAATTAATCTTAAAACTGCATCTCTACGTCGATCATTTTTCCTAATAACAAAGCAGTGACAGCTTTTCCAGCCACATTTGGAATCACGTTTCTGGTATTTAAGAGACTTTTTTTTTCCCTTCTTCACATGAAAATAGCCACGGCCCACGCTTGTTTCGTGCACAGCACTCCAGCACTGCTGGGTTGTGGTGTTTGTCCCGGGAATGTACACCAATTGTTCCCGTGTTTACTCTCGAGCCGCTCTACAAATGGCCTAAAGGAGCTGTGATTCGCGTAAAGCAGACGCACACCCCGCAACACAAGACAAGTCCTTTTAATTCACTGGCTTCCCACAGTTTAACATGCAGCCCATTATGTTGATCCCAACTGGGAGTTTTCATTTGATATGAAGATTTCCCAAGTCGAGAGCGTAACTTAGAGACGTCAGGGTGGGAAAATTTGACTCATAAGATGCTTTTCTTCACTCTGGGCTGTGTTCAGAGGCACCTCGGGACGTGTTTGGATTTTACTCAACTGCTTCTGGAATTTTCTTCCTGCATCCTGTCCGGCATTCCTGTGTCCGAGGCCCTGTCGCCAAACACACATAATCCTTGACACACACACACACACATACACCCGTCGAACACACACATCTTTGGTTTATCCGGCCTCACCCCCTGAGGCGATGCAAAACGAAGGGTATGGAGCATCTCTCCGAAAGCAGAGGAGCTTGTGGTTCCCATGGTGACGGTGTTGTGCGAGCCTTATTTTGGCGATCCGTGTGAAGTGTGAGGATGAAAGTAGGCGGAAGTGAGAAAGTGTAAGGGAGGTGTGAAAAAAATGGATGAGCAGCGATTTAAGGTCAAAATACTCAGAGCGCTTCTTGTTAAAGGAGCTGCCGTCACCGTGGAGGGAAACAGACAAAAATACATCTGATCGTTCCAAAGGTTGCTCTAATGTTTGCTGTGCAGGGACCGATTTTATACTTTGTCCTAGTTCAGCAATCTGTGCTGAGGAGGATACTTTATTATGAGTTAAATATTAGTGGGGACCGGGGAACAGAACAAAGGGTTTGACAAATAATTTAAACAGAAAATGTATTCAACTGTAATAGTAAAATGTTTCAAATCAGGTGAGACTGGGCTTCAAAACACCGGAGGAACAGAGGAACTGCTACTAAAAGCTCAAAAGTACTCCTGAAAGCAAATCTGCCAACTTATGCAGCTTGACTCGGATTCAAGAAATGTGAAAACTTGATCCTGAAACACTGACAGTTATCTGAAATTATGTAGAAAACAGTTTTATAACAGTCATTTTTTCTGACAAAATCACAAAGATCCAGCCAGCCAGCCACCTCTTCCAGATCTTCTGGGGGAACTCCAAGGTGTTCCCAGGCTGACCGAGAGACATAGTCTCTCCAACGTATCCTGGGTCTTCCCCGGGATCTCCTCCCAGTCAGACATACCCCAAGTACCTGCCTAGGGAGGTATCCGGGGAGCATCCTTACCAGATGAACCACCTCAACTGGCTCCTCTCTATGTGGAGGAGCAGCAGTTCTACTCCAAGTCTCTCCTGGATAACTGAACTTCTCACTCTATCTCTAAGGGAGAGTCCAACTACCCGTCAGAGGAAACTCATTTCAGCTGCCTGTATCTGTGATCTCATTCCTTCGGTCACTACCCAGACTTCGTGATCGTAGGTGAGGGTAGGAACATAGACCGACCTGGCTCAACTCCCTCCTCACCACAACGGACCGGCACAGAGTCTACAATACTGCAGAGTCTGACCAATCCATCTGTCTGTCTCACGCTTCATTCTTCCCTCACTCGTGAACAAAACCCCAAGATATTTGAACTCCTTCACTTGAGGCAGAGCTTTACCCTTGACTAGAAGAAAGCAATCCACCCTTTTCTTGGAGGTGCTGATCCTCATCCTAACCGCTTCACACTCTGCTGCAAATCAATCTAGTGAGAGCTGAAGATCACAGCACAGTGATGCTAAAGACTCCAAGAAGGCCAGATACTCTGAACTGCCATTTGGCACGTAGGCACAAACAACTGTCAGAGCCCCTTTCCCTACCAAAGATTGAGGGAAACTAGCCGCTCATCTACCCGGGAAAACTCTTAACATACATACATCAAGTCGGGGGGCTAAAAGAGTAGACCCACACCAGCTCAGAGCAGACCTGGGCATTGTACGGCCCCAGGGCCACATGCGGCCCTTTGGTTGACTCTGACCGGCCCCCGTAAGGGGAATTACAAAATACATATGTAAACAAATGAAGTTAACCAAATCCAGATATAGATCCTCTCTCAATGATGATGTCAGCTTTGCTTCACATCTCCACCTCAGACCTTCAACCTGACTTTAACATTTCCGTTAAAGCCCAACAGAGACTAAACTTCTCTCACTAAACAAGAAAAAAGAACTGATAAACACCAAATGAGATGTTTAGACTACAAATGTAGGCACGTAAAGAACCGGGACTCGAAATCACAGTTCAGTGACGATCACTATTATATGATGTTTCATAATATTTGGAGTACAAAGACAATATTATGATATATTTAGAAAGCTAAGAACTTTTTCCAGCAGTATATAAAACTCAAAATGAGTTTTGGGGTGATTGTGACTGAAAATGATCACTAATATAACATCACAAATGGTAAAAATGTTAACAGTTTACCATTGTACTGGGAAATTTAATTGAATAAATGACATTTTTTGTAAGGAAACCTCACTTTTTCGTTGCTTAATCATAACAAATACTCTTACCAGCTTGTTAAAACAGTGCTATGTACTGCTTTTAATAATGAAATACTAATATTATGCAGTATTGAGTTAAGTTGAAATCAGGTCTCTCTTGTAAATGAGTCCTCGAGGCTCAATGGGATTTACCTGTCTAAATAAAGGTTGAATGAAAAAGTCATTTGTGCCAGCCCTCCACAATATTTGTTGTTTTTCATGTGGCCCCATGGAAAAAATAATTGCCCACCCCTGAGCTCAGAGCATCTCACCGTGGGCAACTCCAGAGTGAAATAAGGTCCAGCCCCTCTCAAGGAGATTGGTTCTGGAGCCCATGCTGTGCATCGAGGTGAGCCCAACATCCAATATCTAGTCAGTACCTCTCTTTAAATGCTGATAAAACTAAAGGGATGTTGTTTTCAAACAGGAAGTCAGTTCCAGCAGTCCCTCCTTCTATCTTATCTACGAATGGTGTTCCTGTTGAGTTTATCGATTCTTATTAATACTTGGGTATCTTGGTCGATGCACATCTCTCTTTTAAACCTCATATCGAAAACTTGGTAAGGAAACTGAAAGTAAAACTGGGTTTCTTTTTCAGAAATAGATCCTGTCTAACTCTGAATGTTAGGAAACACCTTGTAACTGCGACTTTCCTTCCCTTCAAGGACTATGGTGACATTATTTACATGAACGCTCCTACACGCACCCTGCAGATGTTGGACGCTGTCTATGACTGTGCACTAAGATTCATAACTGGCTGTAACTGCCATACCCATCACTGCACCCTGTATTAACTGGTTAACTGGTCATCATTAACTTCATGCAGACTCTCTCACTGGTACATTTTCATCTTTAAATCACTTCGTGGTCTGTTGCCTTCATACATCTCCTACATGTCACTTTGTGAGTGCAGCTACAACGTGCATTCTCAGGCCCCTATTACCTGCAGAGTTCCCTCAGTGTGGACCGAACTAGGCAAAAATGTCTTCTCCTACTCCACTCCTGTTTCCTCGAACACTTTGCAAACATCTCCGAAGATCTTGACCTTGACTTCTCTAAGGGACTTTAAACATCTGCTAAGTTCATATCAAAAGCAATTCAGACATGTTCCTGTTTTTAG